ATAAGGGCACCGGGGGTTGCTAGTGGTGGCGCAGTGGAATTCCCGAGGACACAGTCGGTTCTCGGTTAGGCAGGGGTATCTCTGTAGAAGGAGTTCGTTTATCCAAGGGGTGAGGTAATCCGGGTCGTATGATGAGTCGGAATTCTAGGATCGCGTCATTGTGTTATGGCGGTATTATGAGTTGCCTAAGGGCGGGTCCGTGGCGATCGAGGTCGCCGCATGCGAGCACGTGCAGGCCACGCGAATGGCGTCGGACTTACGTGTGCTCGTGCCTAAGGGCGGGTCCGTGGCGATCGTGGTCGCCGCATGCGGGACGACTGCGCCGTTGCGGATTCCGGGACGGCCGTTCCCACTCGGATAGGGCATCTGTGATCGATGGTCCTGACGAGTTGACGCCCGGGGGTCCGTGTAAGTGCGCAACTCAGCTCGCGTTTTACACGTGTCCTCGCGCGGCACTCGCCAAGCCCGGCATCCGATCGTCTAATCACTCCGTGATGTTCTGAGCATGCAAGATGCAATGGCCAAAAACAGCTCGATCAAAAGGCAAGCAAAGACAAGGACAAAATTATCGATTGCGCAAAATTCCTATTCTACACACGAGCGCATCGAGGGCGACAACAAAAACAAAGACAAGGGTTCCCAGCAAAAAGATAGGCAATCAAACATGGCATCCATACATCCATCCATTCAGTAATCATACACATAACACATCAGAGGTGGAAGAATTGCGAGGGCAAATGTGAGCAAAAACTCAAGTCCAAATTCCAATAAACAGAAATCGGACAAATTGCCCAGAGCCGAAGTCAAAACTTATATACACGAGATAGGGGGGAGAAAAGATAAAAGAAACAGCAACTCCACGTCCATCAATCTCAACTCTCTCTCCCTCTCTCTTCTTCTCCGATGCGGACAGTTCGTCGTCGCGCACCAACCCACGAAGCCGTCACCCCGCTTAGTCCTCCCACACCCGTCGGGTTCGCCCGTGCCCAAAGTCCGTCGTGGCCCGCGTCAACCCCGCGCGTTTGGCACCAGCTCGTTGGGTCGCCCGACCCCTGCTCTACTCACCTCTTACTTCGCTCGTGTGCCGACCCTCTGTGATCGCGCAACCCCGAGCTTCCAACAGTTGGTTAAGAGAGCTAACTAATCGCGCAACCGGAATTTATAGCGTGCATGG